CAGGCGTCGCGCCGCCCCCGACCCCTGCGTGCTGAGGGCCCTGGTCGTTGTGTACAGACCCCAGTGAGAGGCGGCCCCTCCACCCTCCAAGAGGCCAGACACGTCGTCCCACAACGGTGCCAGGAACTCCCGGGGACAGACCTGCGGGGCTCAGGCGGCCTCCTCCAGCCAGGCCACACCAGTAGCTCGAAACATGGACAGCAAACACCTGAGGAAAAAAATTCAAGCTCTAAGGCAAGGCAAGGCAAATTCTAACACGACATTTTTCCCCTGACCTTTGGCCTCCCCGCTCCCCTCTGGCGGGCATTATGTGTCTGCATTATGCATTAACCAGACCTCCCCAAGGAAAGGAATACCTGCTCAACCATAAAAATCTATTTTTCTTGTTTTGACGTCAACCATGTAACTCTCTAGAAGATAACATTCCTTTCTCGGTCCTGTAAGGGGTCACGATGACCCACCGCTGGCCTTGGACGTGCAGACATCTTTGGTGGACTTTATGAGCAGTATATCATTTCCCTTAAAGATAGCAACTGGTACAGAACAGACGGGCCAGATGACCGGGGGAGATAGCGGGCCGCACCTAACATTCTCAGCCTAAAGACACGCTCATGACCTTATTAACGCCCCTCGTTATATTACGTGTATTCCGCCTATTTTACCAGACGATTGTTTCTTTGATCAACAACAACGTGATTGAGCCTCAGATAAAATGAATGATGATTACAGACGACTTGAAAGGATTGACCAGCCAGCCAGTTTTGTCAGATCAATCACTGTAACTGTGTAAAATTCTAGGGGTCGGAAAAAGCAGCAAGAGCGACCCGTTTCCCGGCCCATGATAGAGGAGTCAGCCTGGGGGTCCAGAGGTTTGGGGTGACTGTGGACAGGGTCTCGTCCAGTCACATCACCCGAGCCACCCGTCACAGAAATCGTTGCCATGGAACACACTGGTCACGCAGTGCCCTTGGAGCCCTGACTGAAGTGAAGGCGGAAGGGGAAGGGACTGTAAAATAAGGAATGCTGCCCACCATCCAGTTCTACAGGAATGAAGTCATCACCCAGCACGGCGCTGGCCGACGACAACACGCCCTGCAGGAGCTTAGGACAAAGGGCAGGACGGGGGGCACGCTGGGAAAACTGGCAGAACTGGCCCGCAGACAGTTTTCCAGGAGAACATGTCGTAAAGCCGGCTTCCTGCATCTCCTCATACTTAGAAAAGCATGAGAACCATTGAAAACATCTTCCACGAGACGTGTGCTTGATTGCACGTACCCTCCATCAAGACTGTGTTTACTGGCCTCCCCCACCCTCTTCAGAACGGCCCTCGGAACTTTCTGAAACATTCGGAGTCGCCCAGGTTACAAGACTAGGCTGTGATGCTTAGATTCATGAGAACCGTATGTCTGGGGTTGCCCCCAGTCCCCGGCCCACACCTCCCTCCCTTGGAGCCCCCAGCAGTGAGACCCGCGACAGCATCACTGGTTACAGCATCTGCTGTCTTGTCCCCAGTTCCTGGAACTGCTGAGAGCCGTGAAGCGGGCATGGGTGCCTTCTCATTTATGTTCACAGCAAGTCCCTTCTCCGCGCTGCTGGGTGACATTCACGAGGAAGCTTTGGGAAAAGACCCAAGGAATGGGGCTGACGGCAGGAGAGCCTGCCCTGAGCAGGGAGGGACTCCAGGACCCCCGCCGCCTTGAGGAGGGGGACAGGCCGAAGGTTGAGCGCACGGTCAGTGGCCAGTGATTTACTCAGTTGTGTTCTGTGATGAAGCCCCCCCCACCCCTACCCCAGGAGGGGGAACCTGCTCAGCTTCTGGGCCTGTGAACCTGGGGAGATCTGCAGGCCTGGGGCTCGCCCCCACCCCGCCCTCTGCCTCTCTCTTACGTGGCTGGGGGCCTTCGAATGCGGCCTCTGCATGCCCTGGGAGTGCTGGCTCCTCCGTGAGGCTCGCTGACGGCTGCAAGTAAAACCACAGCCCCATCCCACCTCCGCCCCCTGCTCCCCACACCCCCAGCCAGGCTAGTGCATCTCACTCTTTTATCTTGAGGCACCGTGGTCCTCAGCGGCAGCCCCAAGGCACTTCCAAGCTCATCTTATCTTCCCCCCCACCCACCGCCCAACTTGGAGCCCTCCAGGGATGCCCACTACTCTCAGAAAGAAGCCCCCGCCCCCCAGTCTGGCTTGCAAAGCACAGTGGGGAGGCCGCCCCTGGGAGGGCTCCTGCCCACCCCCCTCCTCACCCGCCTGTGGGGGTGCCTCCTCCCCCGGGCCACTGCTGGGCCTCCCCGGCACCAAGCTCGGGGGGCCCCATGTCAGGAGGTCAGATCTAACACATGAAAATGTTTGTTTAAAATAAAAGAACTATGTCCCTACACGTCTGTAAGGCCCGAACCAAAACACTGACACCAATAGATACCGCGCTGTGGCTGGTGGGAACGCGAGGCGCCGTCTTATGCACGGCACACACGCACCACAACCACCATGATCCTTGGTTCCACACCCCGAAGAGCTGAAAACTCAAGCCTATGCAAAAACCTGCTCCTGGGTCAGTACGACGGCTTATTCATCATGGCCAGCACGGGGAAGCCGTCAAGACGCCCCCTCAGTGGGGGAGTGGGGACCTTTCTGCAGTACGCCAGGTGAGGGCCTATCAGCTCAGTTCCGTTCAGTCGCTCAGTCGTGTCCGACCCTTTGTGACCCCATGGACTGCGGCACACCAGGCCTCCCTGTCCATCACCATCTCCCGGAGCTTACTCAAACTCATGTCCATCGAGTCGGTGATGCCATCCAACCATCTCATCCTGTGTCGTCTGATGGAGTATCATTCAGCTCTAAAGACAAATCCACTCACAAGCCGTGAAAAGATGCAGAGCAAATGTAAGTGTCAAGGGAAAGAAGCCAGTCTGAAAAGGCTACAGAGTGTGTGGTCCTAACTACGGGACAGTCTGGAAAAGCAGACCCATGGAGACAGCAGGACGACCCACGGGTGCGGGGTCAGGGCCGGGGGCGGACGGGAGCAGCTCGGCAGGTTTTCTGGGCAATGACCCCCCGTAGGTGTGGTGCTGGTACGTGGACCCGTCCCTGTGCATCTGGCAAAATCTGTAGGCTGCCCACCAAGAGTGAACCTCAAGCCGACTATGGACTTCAGCTAACAACAACATACTAGGATTGCTCCATCAACTGCAACATATGTGTCACGTTAGTGTAAGTGTTAATGCTATGGGAGGCTGAGGGGCAGGAGAAACTGAGTGTATGGGAATCCTTTGTACTTTCTCAGCAATTTCCCTATAAACTTAAAATCATTCTTTAAAGAGTCTATTAAAAAACAATAAAGACAGTTGTTTATCTGAGCTTTGAATTTAATTGGCATCCTCTCCTCTGTTTGGCAAACTCAGCCCCCGAAGCTGTGTGTTGCTCAGGAAGGGGGGAGGTGATGACCCGGGCTGGGGGGAGGGTGGGAGGGAGTGGGGTGGGAGGCCGCCCGCGGGGCCTGGGGGGTCGAGACTCACCCACCTCGCACTCACAGGTCCCAGGCCGGAAGGAGAAGAATCCAGCTGGCATACAATCAGAGAAGCGGCCTAGTGGTGCGGGGTCTGCACTGTTGAGACCCCGTCGAGGACCTCCGTGCTCTCAGCCTCACTGATCAGAGCCTACTGAGGTCCAGCAGGACGCCGGCCCACACCGCCTCCCATCCAGCCACGTTCTGAGCAACATGGAGACCTCTCCCTGGGTTGGCCACGTGGCTGCTGAGTCAAAGCTTTACAAATGAAGCAGAAAGCTTCCCAGCCTCCAGGTTGGGGGACCCCTGTCCTCCAGCTCCCGCCCTCTCCCCACTTCTGGGGCCCTGCCACGGTCACCGTCAGCCTCGCTGGGCCCTGGCTGCGGCCGAACGTTGCCTAGCCCTCCTCTGTCCTCCCCTGCAGGCACGAGGCCCCCCACTCACAGCTGACCCCCCAGCAGCCGTGCCCCACCATGGGTCTCTTCATCCTAGAGGAATCCACTTAGGGTCTCCGGCACCAAACGTGACAGTGAGGAGGGCCCTCCAGCCCCCTCCCACCCTGGGGCCCCCAGGAGCAGCCCCAGGCTCCCCTGCTCCTGCCTCCTTGCTGTCCTGCCCCCACCCTAGAGCCCCGCTCCCCCCAGATCTGCCTGCTGTGTGTACGTGGGGGTGGGTGTACAACAGAGGGTCTCTGATCCTGCTCTGTGACGGGGCCCCAGTGAGGGCTGTGCCAAGGCTGGAAGCAGGGCGGGCCAGCTGCGGCCTGGAAAAGCCAATGGCCTCATGGATGCTGGGGGGGCAGGCATGGCTGGGGGTCCCTGGGGGGCATCTCAGGCATGAGAACTTGGCCAGAAGGGGTGGGGCGGTAGAGTTCCACGGACAGAGGGAGGCAGCCACTGTGGCCAGGTGGCGAGAGGTGGTGATTCAGCTGTTCAGTTGTGTCTGGCTCTTACAACCCCATGGACTGTATGGAGCCCACCAGGCTCCATGGGATTCTCCAGGCAAGAACACTGGAGTGGTTGCCATTTTCTTCTCCAGGGGATCTTCCCAACCCAGGGATTGAACCCGGGTCTCCTGTACTGGCAGGCGGATCCTTTACCGACTGGGGCCTCCCACGAATTCACACCTCCCCCACTGCCCCAGTCTCGCACCTGGGCCACCAGCGGGAAGGGTGGCTGGCTCTGGGTGGTGGGTGGCCAGCAGTGTGCCTGGGCACTAGGCTGGAGTCGTGGGGGCATCCGTGGTGGTATCCGTGGTGGTCCACTGGTGCGCTGGGCCCCGGGGAGGAGGGAGGACGTGAGGGGCTGGTGGCACTAGGGTGTGCTGCCGGGCACAACTAGGGCGCTGGGTGCGCAGGGCTCAGGGCCCAGGTGGGGCCCAGGTGGGGCCCAGGTGTGCGGGCGGCGCGCGTCCTCCCGGGCGCCAGGGGGCGCTGCGCCGGGGGGCGGGCCTAAGCTGGGCCCGCCCCTCCTTCCGTCCGTGGCCCCGGAAGCGGGCGATGGCGCGGAACGTGCTGTGAGTGGGGGGTCCCGGCGCTAGGGGTCGGGGGCGTGGCCGCCCCCAAGGCTGGGCTCGGGCGCCGGGCCGCGGGGTCGGGACTCGGGACCCGGCGGGACGCGCGGCGTCTGGGCGCCCGTGGGGGTGGGGTGGGGTGGGGTGGGGCGGGGCCGGGGAGGGGTGTCGTTCCGGGTCCCGCGGGGCCCGAGCCTCTCCCGGGGTCGAGCCTGGCCTTCGGCGAAGGTGGGCGGGAGGTCGGTGCGGCCGGTCAGCGCCGGCCTCGGGCCTTGGGCCCCGCGGGCTGTGCGCGCCCCCCGCCCCGGCAGCTCCCCAGGGGCCCGAACCGTGGCCCCTGCAGTGCCCGCGGCCGGTCGCCAGGGGGAAGATGCGACCCTGGTGGCCACTCGAGGCGGCCCCACGAGGACAGGCGGGCTCGCCGGCCCCCCGCCCCGTGCCCGACGCGTTGCCGTCGGAGGTGCTGCTGCTGGTGTCCGGCAGCTGACACGTGCGACGGGGTCACCAGGAGACCCCAGGAGACGTCGGCTGGCACTCAGCTCAGAACTGGTCTGCCCGCGGGCGTCCCGGCCTGTGTCAGGGCTTCGAGCCTCTGCCACCCCCAGGATGCCCCATCCAGGACCTCGGCTCGGCCAGTCCTACTCCCCAGAGTTGAGAGGCCCAGAGGCATCCTGGGACTTGGCTTCACCGGGCCCCCCTCCCCTCGTTCTTGGTGACCCCCCAGATCAGAGGCCGTGCGCCATGCTGCAAACTGGTCACCAGGACCCCTTGATGGCATCGTCAGACCCTGTGCCCACCCTCCACCGAAACACCTCTCCTTGGCTCCCACTGGACCCCTGACCCCTCGCAGGCCCTGCCAACCTTGGGCCCCCACCTTCTTGGACCATGAGCCCTGAGGCCTGGTTGGGTCCAGTTGGCAGTGTGGCCCTCCTCACCCACCAGACCCACGGGGGCATAGGTCCAGTTGGAAGGGATGGGTTGGAGCCACAGGTGGTGGCCGCCCACACGTTCTAGATGTCTCTGCCCCGCTTTGGGGTTTGAGGGGTGAGGGAGGCGGGCAGTGAGCATGTACTGGTGACCTCCACACACTGCCTTCCTGAGCCGCCGAGTCCCTTATCTGTTTTTCCATTGTTTGTTCACCCTTTATCGTTTGATCTTCACTCTTGTCAAGGATGAGCAGGCGCTTCCAGCATGGGGTGGGGGTGGCCCTGTCCTTGTCCTCTCAGCGGGGCTGAGCCAGTGCAGATTAAGCTAGTTCCGACTGATCCCACCTCACCTGAGCGGAAGGGAGCTGGAGGCCATGCCGGTGTGGGGCCCGTTCCGGGGGGACAGCCATGCGGGGGCTGCGTGTCTGTGCAGCCGGCACTTTGAACAAACACATGACTCCGAGCCTGTTGACAGGGCAGGGTGGGCACGTCGTCTCTTTGTGAATCATTCACTGGTTCTTTCCAAAGGCCGACCTTGAGGGTCAACAGGCCACACTGCCCTGGGGATGGGACTGGCTGCCCCATACCGGGTGAGGGAAGGGCTGACCTGTGGGTGACTGCCCCCTCGGCTTCTCAGCCCCATGGGCGTGATGACCTGTGCACCCTGCTGGGGCGTCCTGGGAGCCTCATGTTCTGGGCGTTTGACATGACCCGTTCCCCCCCACCCCTTGCAGGTACCCTCTGTACCAGCTGGGCAACCCCCAGCTCCGGGTCTTCCGCACCAACTTCTTCATCCAGCTGGTGCGGCCCGGCACGGCCCAGCCTGAGGACACTGTGCAGTTCCGGATCCCCATGGAGTAAGCCTCCCCCAACCCCAGAGGAATTCAGGCCGGGGGGCCCACGGCCCTGGAGGTGCTGCTGAACCCCATTCACAGCAAGGGTCTTCCCACCACAGAAACTCCGCAGGCAACCCTGCGCCGACGCCTGGTGTGTGCAGAGCCTTGGGTGAGGGCGCCTTGGGCTCCTTGCCACCCCCGGAAAGTCCAGCCTGAGAGACCCAACTTCTTTCCTTGCATTGGCCTGGCTGCCCTTCCCAGGAGGCTGGGCTTTGACCCCGGCACCTGCTCACCATGGCTCCCAGAGCCTCCGTCCTTGGGTGGGTCCTTCACGGAGGCCCCCGTTGCTGAGGAGACACAGCTTCTCTGCACCCCGTGCTGAGGTCTCAGGGCTCTGGGATCGGCTCTAGCCTCCATGGGAGCTGAGGGTCATGCCGGCCACCTCGGAGGCCAGGCCAAGAGAGGCTGGGCCCTGTCAGGGGAAGAGGGGACGGCACTGCCATCGCCTTGGCCATCCTTTCTGGGAGACGCCTGTGGTGGGGGCGGGGGGGGGGGCGCTGTGGACAGGGCGGCAGCTGCAGTGCAGGCGGCTGGGCACTGCAGCGGCTCCCGGCAGCCAGAGGGCACTCGCAGACCGTTCCTCCCCTCCGCGCGTCAGCTAGGCCCCCAGGCAGGGTGAACAGGACTGAGTCCTGGGAGCCGGTCCCCCGTCGCCCCCATGTTGCTGCGTCCAGACGTCTCTGCAGGGTCAGCAGGGTCCGGCCCCAGCCCCGGCCAGCTCCCACCCGGTGTCTGCGCTCAGCGGCTCATGCCACCCGGCAGGCCGCTTCCTTCTCCACCCTGTTCAGAGGCCCCTCTTTCCCTCCGGCCCCAGGATGACCAGAGTGGATCTCAAGAACTACCTCGAGTGCATCTACAACGTGCCGGTGGCTGCCGTGCGGACCCGGGTGCAGCATGGTGGGTCGTGGGCCTGGGGGCTCCTCCCGAGCTCAGCAGGCCTGGCTGTCAGTGCTGCTGGCCTGGCCCCTGTCAGCCCCACTAGCACGTGGTCCTTTGCGTGTGAGGAAACGGGCACGCCTGGGGGGAGGGGGCCCTCCTTCCCGGGGCTGGGACTCGGAGGCCTGGTTCCCGCCAGCTCCTCAGAGCAGGGCCCCCACTTGACGCCCCCACTCTGGCGTTGGTCAGCAAAGTGCTCATTTTACTCCACTGGGGTTTTCTCATGCCTTCCCGTTGACCCCTGCTCCCCAGCCCCTGGTTTCCTAGTTGTAAATATGACGACCCTCTGTCGAAGGGAGGTCAGGCTTTAAGAGCCTCCACGACACCAAGGGAGGGACAGTTCTCCGGTTGTCTTATACCCGTTGGGTTTGCACCAAGCAGAGGCTGGTGCCTGCCAGGTATGCGCCTGCCGTCCTCAGACCTAGGTGCCCACGTGCGTCCCTTTCTAGAAAGCGGGTTTCTGGGTTAGGGGGCTGAGAGCTGCATGGTGGGAGTGAAGGCTTCTGTCTCTCCCGCTTCCGACAGGCTGCAGCCGGAGGAGGGACCGCAGGAACGTCAGGACAGAGCAGCCCGATTACAAGGTGGCCTACGTGCAGCTGGTGAGCGCTCACGCCCGCCGTGACCCAGGGCGGCCCTTCGTCTGGTCCGCACGGGGCCCCTGGAGGAGCTGGGGTGCAGTTCAGCTGGGGCGGGAGGGGCCAGGCAGGCTCCCGGGAACTTCTTCAGGGCCAGCTGTGAGTGTGCTGAGGACGGAAGCAGGCTCCCTGGCCTCGGGGTCAGTTTAGACAGCAACCAGCGTCCAGGCCAGGGAGCGGTTGGTGCCTGGGGTGGAGGTGGGTGGCTACAGGGGTCCCCGCCTCAGGGGCAGACCATGTGGGGAGTCCTGGGTCCTGACTGACCCCCTCTCCTCTGGCCTGGACTGTGGGGGTCGCCCCCCCATCCCACCCCAGCCAGCTTCTCTTCACACGGTCTCCTGCTTAGCAGGGGCTCCGGGAATGGGGTCCAGCACCCCATCTGAGCCTTTGCTGACTGAAACCCCGAGCTGGTGAGAGTGAGACCCGCATTTCCAAAGCCCCTCTCCGCTCCTTCCTGCCGACCTGAGCTTCCCCTAGACAGAGAACCCCTGGAGTCAGGATCTGCAACCTTGGCCACTGCCAGTGAGGCCCGTGGGCGCCAGGTGGGACCCCTCTGATGGGGCAGGTGACCTTGGACCCGCGCACAGAGTCGGTTAGCTGCTGTTTGAAACCCTGGCTGGGGTGGGGTGGGGGCAGGGGTCTCCCAGCTCCTTCAGTTTCCCTGTAAACAACCTGGTCAGGCGGGTGCCTGCAGGCCAGCCGCTAGGTGGCAGTGGTGTTATTATGAAAACACCTCTGCCCAGGGCCCTGTTTCGGGCCTTAGGAGGCAGTTTGGTGAAAGACCCAGTTAGCATGGCAGCTTTTCTGAAAAACAGTCACAGTTGTTCTAAACAGGGGCCCCCGTAATTATTTGGCCTAATATTTGCTGTGCATAAAATCAGCCAATCCAGGCCAGGAGAGCAGCCGTTGGCCTTATAAAGACGCCTGTGTCCTCTGCGTTCAGCCGGGCCATCTGTCTTTGTCATGGCAGCCGGTTGACACCCCATATGTCGGCATTCGCCACGAGGCCCTTGAGCGGGAGCTATAGTTACAAGTGGCTTTTGAGTCATCCGAGCCTGGCGTTTCCCGGCCCCACCTCGCTCTGGAAGCCGAGCCGCGTATCTGCAGCTGCCACCCGGCCGCCTTTCTTCCCTGTGAAATCCCAGCTCGTCCCCACCCGGCACGCTTCCCTCTGCTCCAAAATTAAATTCGTGACGGACTCCCCCCCTGCTGACTCCAGCAGACCTCTGCCTGGAAACGGGCCTTGAGGTTGGGCCCTCACCCCCTCAAGGGCTCCGTTCTCTGTCCCCCGTGAGTCCTGGGAGGCCTCCCCCCAGCCTCTCATCAGAGCTGACACCGGTGCAGTGCACCGACATCGGGCAGCAGGACAAGTGAAGCCCCCAGATGAGTGTGGGGTTGGCTGCTTTGAGAAAGCCGGTTTTACGTGGTGGGTGTCCCGGATTTCCCCCCACAACCCAATGAATATCTTTCTGGTGGAGAGTTGGGGAGCTGGCGAGCCTGGGTCACCCCACAGCACGGAGCCTCGGCCCCCATCTGCAGCCTACCAGGGACAGAGGCTGCGTGTTCGTGGAGACCCCTGGTTGGTAAAGAAATCGGGATTCGGCCCCCACGCCCTCCCGGTGTCTTCACTCTTCACTGCGATGCTCCCCCACCCGCTCCTGTGCTTTTCTGCTCATCAGCTTCACAAGGGTGGAGAGTTATTTCTGAAAGCACAGGGTGCCTTTCTCTAGGAAGGGAGCCCCATCTCGGAGAGACGGTGGGGGAGAGCACAGGGTGACACTTCTCCAGGCAGGGAGCCCATCGTGGGGAGAGGCGGTGGGGGACTCTGCGTGGCGCCCTCCGTCCCTCCCAGGCTGTTGCAGATTGCCGTCTTTGTATTTATAGTTAAAAATGTCACTTTGGGTTCCCCACCTCAGAAAGCTAGCAGAATCACCTCGGTATATTAAACATAAATCCCCCATTCTGGGCAAGCAGCCCTGCATGTAAACTATTGCCCTTTGGTATTTTAAAGAAGAAGAAAGAGAGTCTTGAAATGTGTAAGCGACCCCTCCTGCAGGCGGGCTACCGCTCGCACAGGCGCGGCCTTTCATGGCTTGGGGCCTGCGCTCGCCGCGTGAGCAGGCTTTGTGAACGCCCCACTCTCGGGGCCGGCGCTGTGGGCTGCTGCAGATCACGCTTGGCCGCCTGCCCAAATCCAAACTTCTTCACAAAACAAGGGTCTGCAAGAACCAAGCTCACTTCACTGATTTTACTTATTAAAACTTTCCAGATCCAGGTGCCGGCCTCCATCTCTCTGCCCATCCAGAGGTGGGTGCCGTGGCCCTGTGAACATCGGCAGGTCCCCCCAGTCTTTGGAGCCGCTTTGCCACGTGCAGTGTGCGGAGGTGGCCCCTCACCTCCCGCCATCGAGGTCCCCTCCTCTCCCCAGTCCCCTGACAGGCTGGACTGGTGTACCCCGGCCGTGTGTTGGGGGTCCAGGCTGGGACTTAGCCGGCCCTCCTGCATTCTGAACTTTCAGTGAAAGACGTAAAACCAGTTAATTTGCAGAGCCGGTCTTGATTTATAGACGGCTTGCGTGTATATTTCATTGTACGTTACATGCGTTTTGTTTGCCAAGCTGAGCCGGGAGGGGTCTTAGTCTTTGATGTGGGTGAAGGCCTGTAGGTACTTCGGGTGGGAAGCACCCCAGGGAGGCAGCAGACGCGAGCTGTGCCCGTCTTACTTGCCCCCCTGCCTGCAGTCTGGCCTGGCAGCTCCTGGCTGGGAGCAGGGGCTTCGCTGGGCTCCTCCAGCGCCGACACTCTTTGAAGAGCCGGCCTCAGTGAGAAGGGGCCTGTCACAGCCGCGGCTTCTGCTGCTGAAGGCTGAGGCCCGGCCCGCGCATCTGTCCTCTGGCCGTGTGTCTGTCCTGCAGGCATGGGGCAGGCAGCTCCGTCTCCCCGCGGACCGTCCTGCCAGGGTCCCGGGCTGAGCCCGTCTGTTTTGTCCGCAGGCGCACGGGCAGACCTTCACGTTCCCAGATCTGTTTCCTGAGGGAAAGCAGCCCGGAGGCCGCCCCGAGGATGAGGACCTCCGGGACCAGGCGCTGGAGGACCAGAGGCAGCGCCAGCGCCCCGACCCGCGGCGCGGGGGCGTCCCGGGCTGGTTCGGCCTGTGACGGCTGGCCGCCCCGCCAGAATAAAGTGCCGCTGGTGGAGACGGCCTGGCCCTGTGTGCTTTGCCCCCGCCCCGCGCGGGGACCCGCCGTGTGAGCTGGCCTGGGTCCTCCTGGCCCCCCGGGCCTACGGGCCCGAGACAGCCAGGCCGGCCCTGAAACGCACCACTCCCCCCCGCCAGCGGCAGGGAGGCCGCCTGCCCCGAGCCCTGAGGTCACCCTGAGCCCCTGCATTTAAAAGCCTGCCTTCATGCCCGTCAGGGAGGGGGGCGGTTGGAAAGTGGCGGGGTGAGGGCAGGGAGTCTGGGTGACAGGATGGAGCCTGCCTGGCTGGGGGTCCTGTGGGGCACATTGGGCTTGCTGTGGGGGGTGGGGGGTCCGCAGGAAGCTGAGCTGAGTCCAGAGCGAGGTTGGTCCCGGCAGGAAGCAGAGCCCGCAGGGAAGGTGGCCGCCGCCGAGGGCTCCGGGACTGGACGTGGCGAGCAGTCAGCAGGGGCCGCACCCGGGGGCGGGTGGGAAAGGAGGGCGTCGGGACCCATGGGGTGGGGGGCAGAGGCGACGCGGGGCTCTAGGAGTCTGGTGCCTGGGAGCTGCCCATGGCCTGGTGTCTCCTGGAAGCAGGCTGCCGCTGGAAGCCACCTCAAGCACCCCCGGGGGTTTAGCTGGGCCCAGCTCTGAGTGTCCGCGGTCCTGGGGGTCTGGGAGACGAGCAGGAAGGCGTCATGGGTGCTCTGGGAATCAGGCTGTGTTTTCCCCGGGTTGGGGGGGGTCACAAGCCACAAGGGCTGGGGGACCACCCTCTGTGCAGCCTCCCGGGTCCCCAAAGCCCTCCTGGAGCTGGGCCGTCCCCTCCGTGGGGGAGACAGTGGGGAGCCAGCCTGCCGGCTCCCCCTCCCTGAGGGACCCCAGAGGCGTCACGTGGGCCTTTGAAGCTCCCCTTGCCTGAGGGTGAAGGTCCGGGCAAACTGCAGCCTTCAGCGTTGATTTAAAGTGATGGGGAAGGTCGGGAGGGAGGCCGAGCGCAGAGTCAATGGTATTTTCCTGAGAGAAATAATTCATGGGGCCCCGCGGCCCCGAGGACCCCGACTCAAGGCCAGGGGAGGAAGCCCATCCTTCATCCGCTGCACGTCCAGAGCCGGCCGCCCCCGGATGCAGGCCCCCCGAGCCCCTCCACCCGGTGGCCCGCCGCCCCGCTCGCAAGGGCCCCCACGTCCCCCAGGGCCTGGCATCTGCGGGTCACGGCCACGGAGGAGGGGGCTGCCCCCCACCCCCAGTCTCCTCAAAACCCCCAGGGCCGGCGGGTGGGATGGCCACGGCCGGGCCCGCTGGGACAGAGGCAGGCGGGAGGGAGGCTGGGCGCGGTGGCCAGGCAGGGGTGGGGGTTGCCTTGCAGGCCGCGCAAGAACAGGAAGCCAGTGGGCCTTCGGCTGGGGGGCTGCCCGCCCCACCCCCCGTCACGGAGCCTGGAGAAGGGGCTGTGTGACCCCCCCGCCCCTCGCCGGCTGCAGGCTGGAGGCTGACCGAGACAGCCGGCGCCTCGGGAGGCCCTGCCCCGGGATGCGGGCCCCGCGCTGCCTTCTCTGAGACCCCAGCTCCCACTTCCTCCCACAGCTGGGAGATGACGGCGCTGCAGACTCCTGGGCCCCGCTGCTTGCTCCCCGCTGCTCCCCACACACGGGGCCTGCAGGGGGGGTCTCAGGAGCCCCTGGGCTGGGCTCGCCGAGGCCTCTGCTGGTCAGCCTTGTGGGGGGCTGGGCACAGGAGGGCCTGGTGCAGTGGACTTGGTCTCCCTTCCCTGTGTGGGGACAGCCCTGCTGGGAGCACCCTGGGCCGGCGCTCAGGGAGAGCCCACTGCACTGCCCCCCCAAGGTCCCCGTCTACTGTGTGGCCACAGTGGCCAGTGCGGGGCCGTGAGACCCAGGGTCCAGCGGGGAGAGCCGGCGGGCCTCTGCCACTGAGTTATTGCTGCAGCAGGCCCGGCCCGTGGCCCCCAGGACACATCCCAGACCCCCCCGGCAGCTCCAGGTGAGGCCTGCCCGCCAGGATGGAGCGGAAACCCATCTGGCCGCAGCCCCTCCACCGGTGTCTGGTTTTTCTCTCCCAGGGCCAGGGGCCCCCGGGGGGCCGCCCTACGGTGTCCTCACTCCATGCACGTCGCAGGAGTCGCCTGCTGCAGGCGCACGCTGCCTGGCTGGCCCCTCACCGCTCGGGGAGGGGTGCCCGCTCCTCCTGCTGCCGGGACCCCCGCCTGAGTCCCAGGAAGCCTGCCTGTCTGAGGCTCCATCCTCTGCTCTGGGTGGGCTCCCCGGCTGCCCCGACAGGGGGCCCAGGACAGGGACACAGCCGTTACCCTTGCCTGCCCCCCCACAACTCCGCACCCCCCCGACCCCCCTCCCAGGCCTTAAAACACAGAGGGGACTGAAGAAATCAGATCAGGGGCCCTGATGGGGGCTCTGGTGGGGGTCCCCCCGCCTCCCGACTTCCGTGTAATTCTGAGCTCCGTGCACAAAGGCCTGAGTGTGCGCCCCGGCCGGTCAGCCGCCCAGTCCTGCACGTCGGCTCGGCCACCCAGGAGAGAGCCCAGCCTGGGGTGCGAGGAGGGGGGGGGCCCGCCTCCTAGGCTGTGGCTCCTGCCTCCCGGCTGCGAAGACTGGGGCTCCCCCTCCTCACATCACGGAAAAGCCCGCCAGGGTGGTTCTTTTGTGCTTCCAAGCAGTTTTATGGAGGTACGATTCGCATCCGTACAGTCCTCCCCTGCTTGGAGTGTTTAGGCAGGGGTGTCTCCATGGCTGGCATCACTTTGAACACAGGTTGCTGTCACCCACAGAGCGACCCCATACCCTGCCCCGGCCCCTGCCCACACGAGCCTGCGCTCTGTCTCCAGACCTGCCTGTCGGCGTGGCATGGCCGTGGAGTCATGGGGGTGTGATCTCCCAGGTCCTGCTTCTGTCACTCGCCATCACGGCCTGCAGGCCCACCCAGGCCAAGCGGCACCCAGCCTGCCTTCCTCTTTAAGGTCGAGCAACACTCCGCCGCGTGCGGGAGTGGACTTCACGTGTCCTGTTTGCCCGTGGGAGCTCGGCGTGCGTGTTACCGCTGCTCTGGGGGGTGGGGAGCTTAGCCTGAAATGTTTCACGGCAGGCCAGGCCTGCCACACCACCACCCAGGTTGTTTATCAGCCTCTGAAAGTCCCTGCAGGCTGTGGGGAGAGGGGCCGGGTCCAGTGCTGAGTCCTGGGTGGGGATGTCACCCCAGCCCGCCCCCTTGGGGGCCTGGGAGCGCCGCTGGGGCCAGGGTCGGGGTCGGGGGACTGGCTTGGGGAGGGGCTTTCCAGCGAGCCCTGGGACAGCATTCCCGTGCCCCCTGCTTGCCTGCTGTGCTTCTCCCCGGGTGCAGACCACACGTGGCTCCGGCCCTCAGAAGGCCTGTCAGCCCCACTTGAGCTCCGGTCCTTTTCTCCTGCCTCAGCTTCGTGACCCACACTGAGTCCCGTCCTGACAAAAGTGCCCACCCCCTCCCGGAGCCACGCTGGCTCTCCCTCAGGGTGCCCCCACCCCGGGCAGTTCGCTCCACTTCCGCCCGCGCCCCCACCTGCCTGCCCAGCTTGTCTCGGGGTGCTCGGCACCCTGGGAGAAACAGCAAGGTGGCCCAGAGCCTGGGTCTCCTTCCCAGTGCCCCACCCACCCCGCCCAGGGGGAGCCTTGCCCCACATGTGCAGCCGGACACCCTGAGGCAGACGCAGGGACCTCAGGGCCGCCGGCTGCCTGCACGGCACACATCACTCCTTCGTGCCTGCGATCACCCCCAGCGCCCGTTGCCCCGGACACTTCATTATTTCTCTGACCAGGGCTTTTCCTGGTCAAAATGATCAACATTTTTTGTGCTGCTCCCACATCTGGCTTTGATTGGCCCCCGCCTCCTCGGGTGGGTCTGGACCCCTGAGTCTGCAGTGAAGGGAAGGCAAGCCGGCCCACTCTCCTCCCCGAGGGCGCCGGGGGACCCCATCCTTTCCCCCCCCATATCTGCACCCTGCCTGGGCCCAGCTCTGTGGGCGCGTTCCCGGTTCCGCCTCTGCAAGGCTGGGGCTGGGGCACCCCTCACGCCTAGACCCTTCCCGCCCCGTGGCCCCAGTGACCTCCAAGGGGGGCCCACAGACTCGGCCTGCAGGTCACCTCGCCGGGGTCCTCCCTCTCCCCTGGGCGGGTGCTATTTTCTCCACGAAGGTGCCCCCAAGAGTGTCCTCGAGGAGAGTCCTGGTCTGGGGCGCCCAGCAGGCCACTCTGCAGGCCGAAGTCAACCCTCCTTTCCTCTGGCCCGCCCGCCTGGGTGACCTGTCCGTTTAGTCCTCCCAGCCCGAGTCCCAGGAGCCGCTCGCCCCCCAAGCCTCTGCCCCGAGCCAGCCCTCCTGCTGCACCCGCTCTGACGTGGGGGATGCTGCTTTTTTGAGCGGGAGAACCCGCCAGTGCCTGGATGCCCTTAGAATCGGCACTGACGGTGTAGGGGGATCTGTGCCCCGCCCCGCTCCTAACGTGCACGTGGGGAGGCTTTCTGGACGCCCCATGACACTCCGCATGGCCACAGACCCTGGGCGACAGGCCTCTGGGCTGTGGGCAGAGGGGCGGCGGGACGGTGCCTGCCTGCAGGAGCATGCCCGCCGACCACCAGGGAGGATGGCCCTCAAGGACGGCCGCTGCGCTGGGCCTCGTGTCCCCTCGGAGGCGGGCGGTGCGGGCCTCACAGACCCCCTCAGGCTGCGCTGGAGCCCTGACAGCCGGGACAGCTCACGCTGCTGCCGGGGTCTCTCTGGACTTCGCTGGCGGCCAGAGCCCTAAATAACTCTTAGAAAAACCAGCGTCAGCCCCAAACCATGGGATATCTGATTTGTAGCCCTAATAAAACCCCACGCCTGCGGTCAGAGGGGGAGCCGTATGAGTCCGGAGGTAGAGAGGCCGTGTGTCACGCGGGTGTGTGTGCACGTGTGTGAGCAAGAGTTCGAGTGAGGGGTACTGTGCGGGGGGAGGCCCCCTCAGCTCCGGGCCCCACTGAGGCCTGCTGTGGGCACCAGGGCGGGCAGACCCTCGCTCTGCTGCTGTGGGGCCTCGAGGCCCAGGCGTCCGGCCCTCCCCTCTGAGCTGCCGGCCTCGCTGCCGTGAAGCCCTGGGCTGCAGCCTTGTCCTTCTCATCTACTGATGCCCACGCTCTCCACCCGGGGGTGCGTCCCCCTGCAGACCCCTGCCCAGCCCAGGGCTCTGTCCCCACGGCTGCCTGTCACCGTGCCCGGCGGCCTGTGTGGCCTGCCATGCCCCAGGTCCCTGCCAGGTGACCCCTGCACGTGGCCATGGAGTGGTGGGGTGGGCACGGCAGAGGCCCCAGGAGGTCAGTGGAGCTGTGGGAGGGCCCACGGGGCATCCAGGCCTGGGACGGGGGGAGGTGGGCACCTGGTCACTGCGTGGTGTGGCGGCCCCGAGTGTGCCACCCATCCTGCTGGCCTAAGAAACATCCCTTCATGCTGGCCCGTGACCCCCCCAGAGCCTTGGCTGCTGGTCCCTCCGGAGCAACTCCAAGGACTCTGCTCCTCCAGCCCGCGGGCAATCTAACCCACATACAGAGTGTCCCTGGGGGTGCCTCCAGCCCCACATGCTACCCCTGCTGCCCAGCCAGCCCCTGGCGTCCCCTGCACCCCGGCTGCCCGCTTTGTGGTCCAGGGGGCCGCTTGGCCTCAGGGGTCTCTGCGCTGCTATTGGTTCTGTTTCCACCTAAGAAGATCCTCCGTCCCCGGGTTCCTTCCTGCTGTGTCCCTTGGCCCCAAGTGTCTCTCAACTCTGGGCTCGTGAATTTCCCCTCCCACTGCTCTACCAGGCTTCCCCCCGGGCCTGAGGGCTTCAGGAAAGGCCCCCCGGCCCTCGCCTCCCGAGCTGCAGCTGTGTGGCTGAGTGTGTTGGGGGCGATGCCCCCAGAACTAGTCCTAGTCACTTGTCCCCAGAGACCACAACTGGTGTGCCCCGCCCCCCCCCACGCCACCCAGGTCTCCCCTGGATCTGGGGGCCACCTGGTGCATGACCACACTGGGCTTGCCCTGTGTCCCCAAGAAGAGACAGCGCAAGTGCCCCAAGGTGTCGCCTAAAAATAACAGCCGGGCACGGGGCCCTCAGGGCCAGTCCTGAAGGAGGCCAGTGGGATTAAGACCAGCTGCCGCTCCTGTCCCCAGCCTGTCCTCACCTCCCGAGCGTCCCCGGCTTCCCCGTCCCCTGGCCTCACCCCGGCTAAATCCGCCTTGGCCCCTCGGCTGGTACAAAACAGGAAAACTGTGCGTTCCGAGCCTCCTCTGGGGCTTAGGGGGTAAGGGGAGCCGCAGCTGTGAGCAGAGTGGTGAGCGACGCCCTTTATCTGAAAATATCGAGTTGCCGTCGGGATGCTGGGCCCGCGTGCCAGCCCTCCCAGCTCCTGCTGAAATTCAAATAGCTTTGGGAGGTGGGTCGCAGCTGTCCACATCAGTCAAGATGACCCCGGCCGGAACGGGTCCCAGCTCCCCTGAACGCAGGCTTTGCCAGGGTGCTGGAAGGCCCCCCGGAGAGGCTCCCAGGAGGGGAGCAGAAAGTGACCACACTGGCCATCCCAAAGCCCTGGTGGCAGGCCTGGCCTCCATTCCCAGGGCCAGCCGACGTCCTCCCGGCCTCTCCTCCCCACACAGAGACCCCGTGTGGGCCGGAGTGGTGGGCCCCGTCCCGGGCAGAGCCCCGGGCACTGACTCGGGCGGGCTCGGGTTCAAGGCCGCGGGGGACCGCGGGGCGTGGGGGCAGGAGGGAGGCAGGACGGGAAGTGTTGCCCAGGGTCCGTGTGCCGGGACAGAGGGGCAGGGAACCAGGAAGGCCCTTAGAGCAGGAAGCTGGGACCCAGAGCAGCAAGGAAGAGGCTGCAGGCCGCGCGGTGACCCCGGGGCGGGAGGGGGCCAGGCGCCGGCTGGGCGTGCTGGGCCTGGCATGCGGGCCACATGCTTGCCCACGGGGCTCATGGAACATTCTTGCAGGGGGCCGGGGCCCGAGGTGTGTGTATCCCGAGGTGGGGGGGTGGGCGCCGGGCGCTATAACGGGAGGAGCACACACACTTAGTCACCTCTGAGGTATGGCTCCCCGGCCGCACCCGTGTCGTTGCCGTGGCGACTCCGGGAGGGGCTGCAAACAGCCCCAAACAGAGTGGCCCCCTGACTCCTGGTCGCCCCCTCGAGGGGTGGGACGCTCGGAGAGACACTGCCAAGTTTGGGAGAAGGAGCTTGCAGGCTGGCCTCGCTCCAGCCCTGTCCTGGGATGTGTGCACCCCATCCCGGCCCTGCCCGCCTGGCCCGGAGCCTGGAGCCACTTGGGGGCCAGGGCACCAGGGCTGAGGGGCTGGAACCAGGTGGTCAGGCCCCCCAGGTTCAGGGCACCCCAGAGTGCTGGGCTGGTCTCTTTGTCAAGAAAGGGGCCTGGTTTGCTTCAAACTCAGATTCCGGGGGCTTTCGGGCCCGTGGCTCACGGACAAGCCCCCTCCCAGCACATCTGCCTCTCCTTCCATTAAGGTAGAGACCCAGTGACCCCCACTGCAGGTCCCCCTGCTGCTCAACCTGTCAGGGTCCTGGGCCACCCAAGTGGGACTGGAGTAGGGGGCACGGGTAAGGAGGGGTCACCAGGATGGAATCCCAGGGCGGCTGCCTGAAGAGGCAGTCGTGTCACACCCTGAGCGCGGTCAGGGCCAGCGTTCAGCCTGGGAGCCTTGCCCCCCAAGAGAGGCCCCTTCCTACCGCCCCCCTTCCCAGGAATGCGGCCCGGGGCTTGGCACCCACATGCCCAAGGAGCACCCACCCGCCTTTCTGGGGTGCCGGCCTGGCCTGAGCAGTGACCTGGGCATCAATTGGCCAAGGGCTGAAGAGGAGACTTTGGTCCAGGGCAGGGACTGCCGGGGACCACCTAGAGGGGTTCTGTCTGCAAAGCGGGGAGCGTGCCAACGGCCTGGGCAGCCTGGGGCATCTTCCATCCCCCCCAGCAGGCCGACACCTGGGCCGACCAGGGCAGCCCAGAGCTCCCGCACCCACCGCACCCAGGCTGGGCCCCCGGAGGGCTGACGGCCTGGGTGGACCCAGTGCCAGGGCTCGGGTAGGAGACGGTGTCTCTCAACTATGCATGCATCATGCCCCCCACGGGCGGCGCTGTCGGCCAGGAGGGAGCCAGGCCCTGCTCGGAAAGGTCGTGTGCGGTGACGGCTGCACTGCCCTTCCCGGCCCAGCTGTCGGCAACCTGAACCCCGGGCGAGAGCTAAATCGGGGTCTGATGCAGGGGCCGAGGCATCACGGGACGTCCGAGCCTGCATGGCCGCAGGCGCGTCCAGCAGGGCAGCCGGCAGCCACGCGCGTTTCCCACCGCACGTGTGGATGCCTGGCCCCCCGAGGGCCCCGGTCTCAGCCCCCTCCCCAGCCCCAGCTCGGGCCCCCAGCCCCTGCCTTCCGGCCCGCCTCGGCGGTCCGGGTTAAGGGCCCGGGTTCAGCCCTCCTCGCACGGCTGCGTCTTATCTCTGGGAAAGAGATTATGGTGTTTCTGACATTAAATTTTCATGCTGAAGTTTTCAGCATGTAGTTTGAAAAGTTTTTTTTTTTTTCCCCTAATAACACCTGGAGGGGAGGACAAGAAGGATGTTGAGTCTGCACAAAAACGACTTTGAACCTGGGGGTGGGAGGGACCCGCCATCCGTCAAGTCTCGCTCCACGCTGCGGCCAAACCTCCCCCTCCCTGAACTTGAGTTATGGATTCCGGCCACACGGCCTCCTCGCTGGGGCTCGGCTCCCACCAGAACCCCTCCAGCCCCCCAAACCCTGCCAGCTGCCGGTCCCTGGACTTGGGGTGGGTGCCCGGGGTGGCCTGAGGTCACAGGGCTTTAGCATCGCGCATTGTTCTTTGTCCGGGGCGCCAGCCCTAGGCGGCCGCGCTCACGTTTGCGGGGCTGCGGGCAGCCAGCTGTCCTGTACCCCACCCCCACCCCCGGCCCCAGGAGAGGCGCGCTGAGGGAACCAGGGGCTGGAGGCCGCGCTGTGCCCTGGGGGTCCTGGGGTCCCCGCTGCGGCAAGCGTTCCTGCCCAACTGTGTCTTCTGGAGGCTGAAGGGCCTACTTGGGAAACCTAGTCTCAAACTCGTGGGTTGGGTCATTTCGATCTAGGGCTTTCCGAACATCAGGTCCACTAGAGGTCACCCACTGACCCCGGCCTGCCTCATTATGTCCCAGCCGGACGGCTGTGACACCTGATGGGATCCAGAAGGCCCGGGGCGGGCGGCGGGCTGGAGGTGGGGGTGGGGCAGCCGGCTGGGGTGGGCTGGGGGCTGCCGGCTCCGCTCGCCCAGCCCCACCTGAGCTCCAGGGCTCTGAGCAGAGGGGCCCCCTCATCGCCCGCAGGCCAGCCAGGGCCTCCGGGGCCCGAGTCCGGGTGGGCTCCCCACATCCTGAATGTCTTCAGTGTCGGCCAGGCCCGCGTCCTTGGCCTGCGGGCCTGCTCCCACTCCAGATGCGGCCCTGCGCCTTCCGGGCCCACTCCCTTCCCACGGCCCCGAGGGTGAGGGGCGGCCCCAGGTACACCGTCCCCCAGGAGCCTCCTTCCAGCCTCACCAAGCCCCGCGTACCCCTCCTGGCGAGACGGAGCGGCCCTCACCCTGCCCAGCCTGCCACCCCAGAGCCCCAGCCACCCTCTACAGCCGGGGTCCCTCTCAGGCCATCCCTCCTGGCCCTCATGGCCTGTTCCTCAGCGAACGGAATTATCGGGCTTGACCCGAGACCCCCTTCTCTCACGTGACCTCCCCGCGGCCCCAGACAA